TTCTCCATCAAGCGTCTCTTAGGGCAATGCAACCTTTTGATGATGAAAGATATTCTCCGTGTAGTAGTGATTAATTAACTTTATTTTAAGAAAAACAAATATAAAACCAATATTGGACTTATTTTTAAAAGAATGTAAATAAAAACTAAACAACAGATGTATATAAATAACGTATACACTAGATGCAAATTGATTATAAAAAATGACACAAATCAAAATCATTGTAAAGCCCTTTTGGAATCAATGTGCCTAAATTAAAAATCCATTTAATTTCCCTTTGAGCCATTTACTTTGAAATTCCTTTCCCTCTCCTATTCCAAATGTGGTGGTTTTTTTTTTTTTTATCGTGATGTTCATTAAAATGAAGTGGAACACTATGGTGAATATATCCTTTTTTCATGTTCCTAACATACTCCACCACTCTTATGTAGACCTGTCTAGTGGTGCGTGCTACATAATATAGACCACATCCAAAAACATGCAGGTTCACAGATACAAACAATGACTTACATACAGATGCAGTCACGCATACAGATACACAGAAACACACAAAAAACACTTACAGACACATATCCTGGTCAGAATTTTTGCCACCTGCCAGTTTACTACCTTTTGGGTGTAGGAGGTTGTCTTCTGCTGGCTAAAGCCGCTGTGAGTTAGCGACTTGCCCTCCAAGTCCGCCCCCCTCTTTGCCTCCTCCTCTCTTCCACCTGGCCAGCGCTGTATTTACCGAAAGGCTAACAAGGCATTTGCCTTGGGTGGACTTGCCATGGGGGCAGCAAAAATCAATCCAACCAAATGACCCGGCAGATGTCTTGTTAGCCTCATGTCATGAGGGGCCGATGAGCTGGCCAGTTGGCCACTTTAGGATGCAGGCATCTGTGCATATTCTCGCCAGGCAGTGAGGCAATACTGATCCCTGTGCTCTTCCTGTTCTGCTTCCTCGCGTGCCCTGCCATGATACAGGGAGCCTGAATATTACATAATTCCAGCCCTGCATCACTAAACAGCACATGAGGGAGCAGAGCAAGAAGATTACAACCATAAGTGTACAATCACAAACAATTCAGACTCAGGGACTGAAGTACAGAAAAATAAATGTAGTGGTAACCTCCAATATTTTTACACACCGGTTAATCCTGAAACACCGTACAAACAAATATAAAGACAAAGTAACGTGGATAATGATTGAAAAGCACTTGTGAATATACCACTAAAGCTTTTATATTCTACAGGTGTAATATGAAAGCGTGGTCTGCTGTTGGAGCAAGATGGACGGGTCCGGGTGAAGCTCCGCTAGGACCACGAGGCCAACAGCTTACAATAGCGAAGAAATACGTTTTTGACAGTGACTGATTATGGTGGAGAAGGTATGGATAAACAGGCCCCGAGAAAACAGCCCAAGAAACAGCCGGTACAGTGCACCACGGTAACTGACCTGTTTGCTGCCTCCAGCGCCACGCGGCTAGGCACCCAAGATGGCGGACAGGATAGCCGGGGACTCCACGCTCACCCTCCAGCCCAGGGGGTACCGCTGCCCCTGGTACTCTAGAGTCTGACACCACACAGATCCTGGCAAAACTGGCAGATGTACATACTTACCTGGCCACAGAAATTGCCAGGAATACAAATTAGGTAAAAGTGGAGATCCAGGCCTTGGGTGCGAGGACGGCATTACTTGAGCAGCGCGTGGAGTCCACGGCTGTGGCCCACAATGAAGCCGCTGTACAAATCAACCGCCTAACATCCAGGATGGCGATGGCTGGATCCGCACTGGACGATCTTGGAAACCGATCCCAACGGAACAACGTTCGTTTGCACAGCCTCCCAGAACAGGAGGGGGAAGGCCCCTTAATAGAAGTGGTGACCAATATCTTTAAACCACTGCTCCCTGAATTGCAGGAACACCAATGGCACATTGAGAGAGCCCATGGTGTGCTTAGAGCAAAACAAGCTGACGACAGATGGCCTATGGATGTGATTATCAAGTTTCAATTTTTCCAAACTGAAGAATCACTCATGAGATGCAGTAGAGAAGACCCAATCAAATATAAAGGGGCAGAACTGGACTTGTATAAAGATTTGACACCAGCCAGAGATGGAGAGAATGGCGTCTGGTTACCGAGCTGCTACGGAAACACCTGGTCAAGTATGCTTGGGGCCATCCTTTCTGGCTGCTGGCTTTTAAGGATGGGCGCACTAAAGTTCTTCAACCAGATGATGATCCTGTGGCATTCCTGAGAGATGTGGGGATTCAGGGCCCGGTGGAGCTGCCGATACTGACCTCATTGGCGGATGAGCTCCGTCCAATCCCATGGGAATGGTACAAGGCGGGTGAGTGAGGCTTGCGGGCATCGGCTCATCTACGACCACCGGAGGATGGCGAGGGGGAAATCCCGGGCGGAGATGTTGCACGGGTGGGGTTCTTGATATTTATTGGGCAGAGAGCTTCTTGGGCCTTGTCCCACCGGGGGTTATCTCCACATAGCTCGCCTATGCCCTGATCTTTAGGTATAGATGGGTGTTTTTGCCCGTTCGTGGCTCCAGTTTCGGGGGGGTATTCCCTTGTATTGGGCAGGCTAGGGATGTTGTGCTTTCGGTTTGTTTTGGGGTTTCGGCAGAGTCTGGAGTGCATTGTAAATGGTCCCGACTTTAGATTGTGGCATTAACTCTAAGTGGCCCCATAAGAATTTTTCCAGCCACACACGATTCTGACTGCGAGGTGCCTGGGGATAACACACGTATATTGGTATATAATCTCGGGAGTCGGCGGCAGGGGAGGGCGGATTTGGCAATCAACGTTGTTATGCTTTTTATATTAGTATGGATTATTGTTTGTTCTTGTAGCTGCTTATAACAGGGAAGTCGTTTGGCGGGATATGGATCTCCCCGCATCCCCCAGAATAATTTTCTTTGATGTCCCCAGATGCCCGATCCCGGCCTGGGGTCCCGTCCCCCCTCCTTCCTCCCTGGGCACCTTTTCGCCCTGGTGGCGGAGCTGGTGTGGCGGTCCTCCATCTGGGGAACCGGATTTCCACATTACCTGGGATTGGGGTTTGGGGGTGACTCCTCTTATGGGGGGGACTAGTGGCCTGGAACAAGGAGCTACCACTCGGGAGATGTGGGAGACAGGATGGGTACCCCATGGCTGTAAAAACATAAACGAGTCCCTTAATGGAAGCGAATTAGAGATAACACATGAAAAGGACTTGGGAATTGTTATAGACAACATGTCAATCAGCAGTGGCCAAGGCCAGTTAGGTATTGTCATGCATGAAAAAGGGTATTCATTCTCGAGATAAGAATATAATTGTGCCTCTTTATAAATCACTGGTAAGACCACATATTGAATATGCTGTGCAATTTTGGGCACCTGTTCTAAAGAAGGATATTATGGCACTAGAAAAAGTGCAGAGGCGGGCTACAAAATTACTAAAAGGAATGGAACATATCAGCTATGAAGAAAGGTTAACAAATTTAAACCTATTTAGTTTAGAAAAACGTTGCCTGAGTGGGGATATGATAACATTATACAAATATATTTGGGGCCAATACAAACCATTGTGTGGAAATCTATTCACATACCAGACTTTACAGAGGACACGAGGTCATGCATTTAGACTGGAAGAAAGAAGATTTCGTCTAAGGCAAAGGAAAGGTTTTTTTACTGTAAGAACAATAAGGATGTGGAATTTTCTGCCCGAAGAAGGGGTTTTATCAGAGTCCATACAGATGTTCAAACAGCTACTAGATGCATACTTGCAAAAACAGAATATTCAAGGATATAATCTTTCAATGTAGGGTAATAACTGCTTGATCCAAGGATAAATTTGACTGCCATTCTGGGGTCAAGAAGGAATTTTTTTTCCTAGCTTGTTGCAAAATTGGAAGTGCTTCAAACTGGGTTTGTTTGCCTTCTTTTGGATCAACAGCAAAAAACAAATGTGTGGAAGGCTGAACTTGATGGATGCAAGTCTCTTTTCAGCTATTTAACTATGTAACTATGAGTCATTGGTCTAAGCTTGGGAACGATAGAATATATATGTATTGCGATACCCTACTTGTATCAATATGCCTCTGAAACTAATGTCTTTAAATGTTAAGGGCCTTAACGCTCCCAAAAAACGACGCCTCATGTTTAGGAAACTTAAACGACTAAACCCCGATATAGCATTCCTGCAGGAGAAGCACATAATGTCGTCAGCGAGGTTCACCCTGAAAGATCATATTTTTCGTACACATATGAATCTAGGGCCCTCAACAAGAGGAGTGACTATCCTCATACATCACAAATGCCCAGTTAGGATTAGTAAAGGACACGCAGATCCGGAAGGGGGGGGGGCGCTTCATTCTTTTATCTTGGACTTTGTACTCACACTCCATCCACGTCCTTAATCTATACACCCCGAACGACCCCTCCAAAGAATTCTGGAATGAGTTGACTCACAGAGTGAATACTTTACCACATGGCATGGTGATAGTGGGGGGAGACTTTAATGCAGGACCGTGTCCGGCGGTGGACAGGGGATCTTGTGGTGGACTTCCACGGTCTCATAGGAGGGGCAGACAGGACAAATTACTACATACCTTTATACAACATACACGCCTTATAGATGTCTGGAGAGCTCACCATCCTGACCATAGTGACTATACTTTTTTATTCGACACCCCATGACACTTACTCGAGGATTGATTTATTCTTAGTAAACCCCCTGACCGTACCCAAAGGGTCGGAATCCACGGTGGAATCTATAACGTGGTCAGATCACGCTGATGTCACACTGACATTGGATAAACTGTGCATGGCGTCTCCGTGGTGTTGGAAATTGAAAAATTCTTTACTCCAAGATCCGACAGTGGTCGAAACCATTCGAAAATAATTAGCTGAGTATTTTGCTAGAGATACTGAGTCGAGCCTGCCGATGGCTACGGTGTGGGCGGCCCATAAAACAGTCATTTGGGGCATATTAATATGTGAAGCTATGCTGAAGAAAAAAAATCGCAATTATTGTCGTCTCTGTTGGAATCTCTAAGGAAAGCGGAACAAAAACATAAACCTAACCCTACTCCAAGCACTTTAACCCCTTAAGGACGGAGCCAGATGTACATGTTGTGAACAAAACAAAATGTAAACAAAACCTGGCATTTGCGCTACATGTCTGTCCAACCGTAATTCACCTCTTTCATAGTAAATGCACCTACCCTTATTATATATCATTTTATTCAGGGGAAACAGGGCTTTCATTTAATATCAAATATTTAGCTGTGAAACATAATTTAATATGAAAAAAATGGGAGAAAATAAGATTTATTTTTATTTTTTTAGTTCTACATGACATTTTAACTGTCAATGTAATACTACTGTTTGCTTTTACTATAATAAAATACACATATCTGTATTCAGCAAAGTCTCACGTGTAAAACGGTACCCCCTATGTACAGGTTTTATGGCGTTTTGAGAAGTTACAGGGTCAAATATAGCACGTTACATTTGAAATTGAAATTCTCCAGATATGTTATGTTGCCTTTGAGACTGTATAGCACCCATAATGGCATACCATTTGCAATAGTAGACAACCCAAGGTATTGCAAATGGGGTATGTCCAGTCTTTTTTAGTAGCCATTTGGTCACAAACACTGGCCAAAGTATTTGTTTGTGTGTAAAAAATGCAAAAAAACGCCAATTTTGGCCAGTGTTTGTGACTAAGTGGCTACTAAAAGAGACTGGACATACCCCGTTTGCAATACCTTGGGTTATCTTCTTTTGCAAATGGTATGCCATCATAGGGGTAATTTTCATTCTTGGGCTACCATAGGGTCTCAAAGGCAACCTAACCAAACTGGCAAATTTTAATGTGAAAAAAATGAAACACAAGCCTTATATTTGACGCTGTAACTTTTGAAAACACCAAAAAACCTGTACATGAGGGGTACTGTTGTACTCGGTAGACTTCGCTGAACACAAATATTTGTGTTTCAAAACAGTAAAAAGTATCGCAGCAATAATATCGTCCGTGTAAGTGCTGTTTGTGCGTGAAAAATGCAAAAAAATTCACTTTTACTGGCGATATCATCGTTGTAATACATTTTACTGTTTTGAAACACTAATATTTGTGTTCAGCGAAGTCTCCCGAGTAGAACAGTACCCCCCATGTACAGGTTTTATGGTGTCTTGGAAAGTTATAGGGTTAAATATAGTGCTAGCAATTTAAATTCCCTTTACTTTCGGCATGGGTTGTCAGGCAGGTCCCGCTAATTGTAATTAAGTAAAATACCTAATTATGTAAAATTATTACATAAATATATATGTAGAATTAATATATGTATATATATAGTCGTATGTGTATATATATATATATATATATATATGTATATATATATATATATATATAATTTTTTTTAAAAATGTTTATTTATATATAGGTATATATATATATATATCTGCTGACTTTTGACATTGGCATACCCAAGACCCAATTGACACCACCATCTGAACATCACTCTCACAGAAACCTCCAATGTCTTGACCTAGAGCATTTCTCCACTAATCTCCAAACTCTCCTTTTACCTATCTCAAACCTCACCTGTCCTAGTTCTGCAACCTCCTTCTACAATTCCACCCTCTCCTCTCAACTAGACATCATGGCACCTTGTACATTTAAACGCCGCAGGCCCCCCCAACAACAACCCTGGCACACCAAGCTCACTCGATACCTCCAAAAATGCCCCAGAACTGCTGAACGCTGTTGGAGAAAGTCTCACTATGCATCTGACTTTCTCCACTATAAATTTATGCTTAGCTCATACAGTTGGCTCTTTCCTCTGCAAAAGTTAATTACTTCAATACACTCATAACCACACTCTCCCGCGAACCCAAATGACTATTTCACACATTTAACTCTCTTCTTCGCCCTGCTGTTCCTCCTCCACCTACTAACTTGACTGCCTCAGACTTTGCAACTCACTTCACTGACAAGATCTCTACAATCAGAGAAGAGATATCTCATCTTTCTTCTTCCCCTTACAATACTTCCCCTAACTTCTCTCCCTCTGCTGTTCTATGTTCATTCACACCCGCTACATTGGAAGAGGTTTCTGCTCTGCTCCGGTCCTCCTGCCCCACCACCTGCTCCCTAGATCCAATTCCCTCGCACCTCATCCGTACTCTGTCTTCTTCTCTTTCTCCACCTCTCACTAAAATTCTCAATCTCTCTCTCTCCTCTGGTATATTTCCATTGCCCTTCAAACATGCAAATGTAATCCCAATTCTAAAGAAGCCCAATCTTGACCCTAACTCCCCATCCAACTATCGTCCTATCTGCCTTTTGCATCCAAGATCCTTGAAAAAATTGTGTATGCGAGATTGACAGACTTCCTTGAGTCCAACTCTCTGCTAGACCCGCTTCAGTTTGGTTTCCGCGCTAAGCACTCTGTGGAAACGGCACTGACCAAAGTACCCAATGATCTACTCGCTGCAAAATCTTGTGGTCACTACTCTATCCTAATTCTCCTTGACCTGTCTGCGGCTTTTGACACTGTTGATCATCAACAGCTTCTTCTCATCCTCCGCAATATCGGTCTACAAGATACTGCTCTCCCCTGGTGCTCCTCTTACCTCTCCCAGCGCTCTTTCAGTGTTTCTTTCTCTGGCTCTGCTTCTTCTCCCCAACTCCTCTCTGTTGGTGTCCTCCAAGGTTCAGTCCTTGGTCCCCTACTGTTCTCCATCTATACTGCCTCCCTTGGTAAACTCATTAGCTCATTTGGCTTCCAATATCATTTCTATGCAGATGACACGCAAATCTACCTGTCCTCTCCTGATCTCTCCCCGTCCCTCTTGACTAGTGTCTCTGACTGCCTCTCTGCTGTTTCTAACTGGATGGCTGCCCACTTCCTTAAACTAAATTTGACCAAAACTGAAATTCTGATCTTTCCTCCCACAAGTGTTGTTACTCCTGTGTCTGTCTCCCTCCAAGTCAACGGTGCTACCATCAGCTCCACCACGCAGGCTCGCTGCCTATGTGTTCTCTTTGACTCCGACCTCTCCTTCAAGCCTCATGTTCAAGCTATCGCCAAATCCTGTCATTTCCATCTCAAAAACGTTGCGCGCATCCGCCCCTACTTAACGCCAGATGCAACTAAGGTGTTTTTCCATTCCACTGTCCTTTTGTCACGGTAGTTTACCCCTACATGCAAGATTTAGTCCAACAATCGACAGATAGAGCAGATACGGCTTACCAGACCTTAGAATGGCCGGACTCGCTGTATAGCAGAGAATAGACAGAGTCAAGAACAAGCCGAGGTCAAGGGAACAAAGAGACAGCGAGAACAAAAACTAGCCAAGGTCTGGTACACAGTAGTCAGTAAGCCGGCAAACAAGACAAAACAGGGATAGAGAGATAAACGGAGTCAGATACAAAGCCAAGGTCAAGCACGAAAATCACAACTGAACACAACAAGCGCTAAAGGGAACTGAAACAGAAACCACGATAGGGCAGGGAGTTAAGGGAGAGGTAAGTATAAATACCCTAAACTTTACTTTGATTGGCCCCTGTCATATCCACGCCCACAAAATGTGAGTGTCTGGGGAATGTGGGATGACAGGGGCCAATGGGAGCACATTTCATTTTTTGGCTCCCACTGCCCCTTTAAGAGCGTGCCCGAGATGCGCGGCAAGCTCTTAGAGCTAGGCAGAACACGTGACCGCATCTCGCGGTCCGTGCCCGCATCTCGCGGTCCGTGCCCGCCTGCATTTGGGAGCTGCGCGCGGCGGGGAGTGAGGACCTCGTCCGGCCCCAGGGTAAGGTAAGTACCGCTACATACCCCCCCGAAGACACGGGGAGGACCAGGCCTGGCAGGAAAACGAGAATGGAAGGAACGCACAAGGCGAGGAGCATGAACAGCGTCAGCGGAAAGCCAACTGCGTTCCTCAGGCCCATAACCCTTCCAATGCACCAGGTACTGGAGTCGACCCCTGAGAAAACGAGAGTCAAGTACTGCAGCCACTTTGAACTCCTCATGACCCTCCACAGAAACAGGAGGAGGAGGAGGAACATGCTGGGTATAGCGGTTACACAGGAGGGGCTTCAACAAGGAGGTGTGAAAGACGTTAGGAATACGCAGGTTCTTAGGAAGATCCAAGGCATACGAAACAGGATTAACTTTATGCAAAATACGGAAAGGACCTATAAAACGGGGGGCCAACTTCATAGAAGGCACACGAAGGCGGATATTGCGAGTGGAAAGCCAAACCCTGTCCCCCACGACATAGGACGGAGCCACCCTGCGACGTTTGTCAGCTTGAACCTTTTGGCGAGCAGCGGAGTCCACCAAAGAACGCTGAACCTGCTCCCAAGTAGTACGTAAACCAGCCATATGTTCATCTAGAGCTGGAATGCCCTGTAAGGAGAATGCAGCTGGAAGAACAACAGGATGCCGGTCATAAACAACGTAGAAAGGGCTTTTACCAGAAGATTCATGAGCAGCGTTATTACAAGCAAATTCAGCCCAAGGAAGCAGGTCAGCCCAATTGTTCTGATGGTGGGATACGAAACAACGAAGATACTGTTCTAGGGACTGGTTGGCACGTTCAGCAGCTCCATTAGACTGGGGGTGGTAAGCGGAGGAAAACGAGAGGGAAATACCCATCTCTGAACAAAAAGCTCTCCAGAATCTGGAAATGAATTGGCTACCCCTATCGGATACAATTGATACAGGAATGCCATGCAACCGAAACACCTCCCTGGCGAAGATAGAAACAAGTTCCCTGGATGAGGGCAATTTGACAAGAGACACAAAATGAGCCATCTTAGAAAATCGATCCACTATCATCAGGATGACTGTTTTGCCATTCGAAGGAGGCAATTCAACAATGAAATCCATGGATAGATTGGACCAAGGCCTCTCAGGTATGGGCAACGGGTGCAACAACCCACAAAGAACTCTATGAGAAGACTTCATACTGGCACAAGTAGTACATGCCCGAACGTAATCGGTGACATCCTTGTGTAAGGAAGCCCACCAAAAATATCTAGAAACTGCTGTTAAGGTTTTAAAAACACCAGGATGTCCAGCAGTTTTGGTGTCATGATATAACGACATAATGTCCCGTCTTTCGGGAACATCAACAAACAGTTTATCAATAGGTTTCTCACTGGGTGCCATGTTTTGTTTAGCCTGAGTGAAGAAGAAATAAATAGAACCGTATTAGCTATTATTCTGTCCGGGGGAATGACAGGGGTATTATCAAACTGTTGTTTGTCGGTAGTT